CCCCCAAATCCGACCAACAACAACAGCAGCTAGTCCCCCTACCACCTTACACTTGTATTTGGCTACTGTAGCAAAAGACAGATATTGATAAAACCAGGATTAATTCTGTATATTTGTCAGGCAAACAGCCCCGTCTCCTAGAATGACGCAAATAACAGATTCTATGGCTCTGGTTTTCTATATTCTGCACCCACGCACTCTGCTTGGTCTCCCACGGAATCAGCTACAGAGAGCAATGATCCAGATTATACAGAGAGAGGGGTGGGGGAAAGGGAGAGAATAACAAATGAAATTGCAATTAAAAATTATAATGCTGCTATAGCCTGTACGCAGATGGCTAAACCTGAGCTTGCACAGTGGCACAGACTCGCCCCCCGAGCCCCCTGCCCCAAACCCAGGCATCAATAGCAACCAGACAAAAGAGAATTGTCGTGCTGACAAATGCAGGGTTTATCTGGCCAAGGGAGGTATTTCCTTTATGCACCACACCTTTCCCAGCTCCCGTTAAGCAAAACACATCTCTGAAACGACCTCGCTTGCCACTAAGTGTGTGAAGAGGGGACAATTAACACATGCAGCCGGGGAGGGGAGGGGGGCCACCAGGAGCCCTTCCAGGGTCCCAGAGGAGCTAATGAGGACCTTGAAGAGCAGGTCGTCTTCCCCGTCTCCCAGACAAAGGGACGCAGCTCTTTCTTAAAATGCCTAAAAAAAGGCAAGCGCAAAGGGCCGTTGCTATTTTTAAACACATCTCTCATTTGTTGGAAAATGGCACTAAAAGCATTAAGCAACCTCCCCGCCCCCGGGGACAGGCTCAGGCACACACGCCAGCACCCGAGGGAAAGCCGAGGTTGGCGGGGACCCTCTCTGCCCCAGGTGAGTATCGAGAGTGCCCTACCACGCTCTACCCACCACCAGCCCACTTCACACCTTGTATGAAGAGAGAAGCAAAATGCCGGGGCAATCAAGAAGCCAGTAAGTTATTTACTGTCTAATCTGTACACACACATTCCTTATTTATTAACTCACTTAATTATTACCAACTTCTTTCGCAGACAATGAATTTCCTAATGTCAATAAACTGCAATCAATGAGGTAAGGCTCTTTCTCCCCCCCCCCCCCCCCCCCTCCCCCCTCTTTTAGCCAGACAATACCATTGCCAACTACTGCAACTGATACAGCAGCACCCGGGGAGAGGAGCATCACACACCTATATGAGATCACATCGTAGGCACTGCCAGGCTCGGGGAGATGGGTTAGGCATTGAAAATGACTACACGCACTCTCGGGTAGAAGCAAGCAGACGCATTGTCATTCACACATCTCCGCACACGCCAGCCATGAACCCATCTTCCCAGGACTGGGAGAGATGTTGCACTTCAGATCTGGAAGAAAAACCCAGCTTAAACCGTGTTTTCACCATATACACCTGGAAAGACAGCCTTTACAGCACTAGTAGCCCAGAAGCCAGAAGGACACGAAGAAATACCACAGTAGGGAAA